AAACCCGAAAATACCATTCAAAAGACTTTTAAAACGCGGAAGCATTTAGCACAAAACCAACAGATGCGTCTTTTACCCGTTGTTTTGTAGGTACTATGAAACGGCAACGTACGTTTCCCACACGTGTACAGTAGCAAGACATGTTTCGCTACTGGTCAGTAACGTAAACTTAAACTGTGATGCAAGATCAAAGAAAGTTTCAAAAAGTAAAAGTCCCTTGCAGATCTCCTTGCTAATTTTTTTAAAAATATCCTTGAAAATGACGGTCAGTATTTTTTACTGCAGTATTTTTACTGCGTTTTGTACGGAGAACTCGGACAACATAGATTCTTGAGTACACATACAGGTTTTACATTTACGAATACATTAGATCTAGGCATTTGTGTTTTATCGTTTTATCTTAGTGGTCCATACGTAGCCGTCGTAACGAGGTTCTAAGTGGGCTATTTTCATTAACAGACGCCACGCTGACTGAGCAAATAAGTCGCAGATGACTTTCTTGAAGATATTGCCTAGTAAGTGCGGGTAAGTTGAATGCGGCTTAAGGCCAGCAGTGGGCTCTAATTGAGCGTTTGACTGGCGACATAGAAACTACGGCTTGCTTAAGTGCAATCACTTTCTAGCAGGCCGGATAAAGAGAGATTCACCCTAGCACCCTAAGCACAATAGGAGTGTACATGATCGATCCTTGTTTGTAGCATTCTTGCAAAACTTTGCCGAGTGCCTAGGCAATCTCATCGGTGCTTAAAATCCAGTAGTGTTTGGTTCAAATCGGCTTTTTTGATGTAGCTATGGTATCATCTCGTTAGCATCTTGTTTACTAAATTGTTTTTTATCTTATTCGGCACTTGTGCATTTATTCCCGTGTTGTTTGCCTAAATCATAAATGTTCGACTACTTTTGTTTCATAACTGTCTACATTAGCTCCGCGTCTAGAATCTAGAAAGTCATGCCAAGTAGATTTTCCGTTTAAACTTGCTCTTCTGACGTTGATTATACCTTGATACTTCAGATGTTATCGCTGAAATATCGATTTAATCTAGTTTCTTATATTAAAGGTCGAATGTGAAGTCAGATTCACAGAACGTCAAGAATGGCTTCACTTTATTAGGTAAAAGTTCATCAAAGATCAGGATAAATATAGATCCCTCGAGACTTTATTGCTGTTTAGAGACTCCTAGAATGCAACACTCGTGCGTTTCGGGAGTGTTTAACCCTAAATTTCGTGAACCTTAGTCTTACCTTAAAAATTTTCTGATTGTCATTTCTGTGGGCATGTCAGCGCCAAAAATTAGTTTTTAGTTAAATATATGTGCCAATACATGTGATAGTTTACACAAGGCGTAATTTGCATGCTGCGGAGCGAAGAAGGCGGTTAATTTTGCTTAGTTAGAAGTGCCAGTTTATTATTTCTGGCCCGGTCATATAGTTTTTACAGAAATGATTTCACTATCAATCCACATTTTGGGCTAGGGTAGATTGCCAAAAGGGTAGTTTCCTGCCTTGTAATTTTTCGACTGATCCTGGGTCTGCCACGGCGCAATGATGGTCGCTTTGCTAAGAACCTTAATGAAATCACTTTTGTTAAGTCAATCAGCTATTTAAGTAGCCGTGATTTGTGACTTGTCCTTGCCCCTGTAGCCAGCCTGCTATTTTACGTACCATTAGCATGCTCTAAGGGTTGAGCGTCTTTTCCTTCTTCGCCAGAAGCACATTTACCCGGACCACTTAATCGCCTAACGTAGTGTGCTGGCAATTTAAGCTGATTTCGTCAGTCAAAAATTTAATTGATAAATCTCACCTACTTGATAAACTCATCCAAGACGTTTTTCATGAACATTAGGAACATAATTCCAAAATTTTCAACGAAACGGTCCTGTTTTTATCGTGGTCAGTCTCCTCGCCAGCAAGGCACCGTGCCTGAAGTCAGAATGCAGAGCGACAGGAGGGTTTCGCCGTAGGATGAAATTGGCCAAGAACACAAACACCGCCAGCCAGAAGAGATCATTCAAAGCACGCGCGTTTAAATGGTTGCGTTTTCCGTAAGCAAGGCAGAGAGGATGACAGAGTAGAGAAGAAGAACTCAAGAAGGAACTTAGCCATCTATAGTTTGCCGGATTTAGGGCTGACAAGTGTGATAAGAACGTAAACACCTAATGTGATGGACAAGTTTACGAATCTTGTTAAAATTATTTTGACTATAAAGGATGAATAATTGATTTGACGACAAAAGAACACTTCGGTTCAAAAGCATTCTTATGTTTTCTGCGTAACGTCTCATCCATCAGAGATAGCAGGAACGTCGGGCTCGGCAAATGGCAAACTAGCCGAAACGGTCTAATTTGTCTAGCGGCAACAGTCGGTTGTATTCGGCATCATGTGTGAGTGGTGTTCATAGATCTTAACTGTGGTCTGGGCGGAACGGGGACACTTCGCAGGGGAAATTGCATACTGAATAGCAGAATATCGTTCAGTAGAGAACACGCATCGCCATCTGGGACGTCGGAACACGAAATGGCTATGTTTGCCCTAAACGTCACGAACTAGGATCCAGTGTTGGTTGCTTGTTGCTCTGAGACCGCCTGTACAGACTGAATTCTATCCTCTTAATCAGAATGAATAATCAGTTGACCGGAGCCTGTCCGACGCAGTCGGTGTGAGATAGTACTGTTCGGCACGCTAGTTTCCACAAAAGTAAACCAAACTTTTTAAGATGCACGGGTAATTAAAACGTGCTTCCAACCTAACGGGCAATTTGAAGGATTTTTAATCGGCCAGGCTCTGACAAAACTTGAAGTTCTGTTACTTGTCCAACGACTTTGTAAGTTACATTCAGTTATATAGACTAGAAGAACATTGATTTAGGAATTCCACTCAGCGTGTCCGTAAGAAGTGTTGAGGAATAATTGAGTGGTATAATGGAACATTAAAAAGCCATTTTCGACTTATCTGCGCAGCACCAAGTACACTCTTTCCTGTTCGGCTTTTAAGGAAAAGTTAACCACTTTTGGCAAGACCTGCAGGTAGGTGAAAATTCTGGAAGTAAAGCATAGTTTTAATTCATACTCTCTGTGCAACGAAATTTGACCATTCATTGAATGGTATTTCCTGTAACCAATCAGGCTTCACGACACGTTGTGCATGCTTTTGGTGATGACGGTGGTGGCGATATATCCCATCGTGGAATATTTGAGTAAGACCGAAACACTTAATCACCCGGATAACCATTACTGTTGAACTAGGAGACACAAAAGGGATTTGGGTGATAAAGGGGCGGACTTTCGCTGCGTCTGCCTCACTCTGCCTCTGAGCACTAAATGCGTTTTAGTGGTGGGTTTGGCCCGCGTGCCACTCACCTATTGGTCACTCAGCGGAGTGAGTTTTAATTTGGTTACATTGGGTAAGCTTCTGAGAATTTTTCTCAGTCGCCAGACGCAGATTATCCGTCCATCCGACAATCTAACAAGATGCGACCTTCAAGACGTCATAGCAATTCAAATAGATGCCCGGTGGATGATCAGAGTGAAGTTTCATGTCAAATAGGTCTTTCTCTGCACGCCTTAAACCTCATTCCTCTCCTTGGGATGTAGCATACACGCAAGAGTTGGTCTCGTAGCTAGATGCGAGACGGACGTCATTCCGAAAATTTTTCCATGGCTGGCATAAAGTAGTTAGGCAGAATGTTACTGCCGAAAAAGACAAGGGAGACCGGAATGGCCTCTTCTGGCCTGTTAACCGTAGTCAGCCAGCCATACTCAACCCTCGGGACTTGCTCCCCAAACGGGCCAAGTACGTTAGATGCGCTGGACCAACATGGGACCACATCGGATTCTGGCAGGCGTTATCTGTGCGCATTAGCAAATGCCAACATCTAGGGGGTGCGCTGACAGACCCCGTTTTCAACATTCGCCGCAGAACTAGATTCCCCGCCTCGCCCTCCAATGTCTTGGCAGTCGAATTTTGATCATTTGTTGTTTGGGCCAAGGGGAGTGGACTGGAGTGCCAAGGGGCAGATCCGTCCAGGCCATCCATCCGCGGCCTCCCTCAATTCCGGTCTTCTTGACTCTGTCCTGACACCGGGCTCGGGCGGGGGAGGAGGAGAGATTGTGGTAGATACTGCGCAGGTCTACTGGCACTTTAAACCCCTGCGTATGTCACCGTCCCTGTTCCAACCACCTGCTGTGGGGCACACGGTGGACATAGTGGAACTCGACGGTCGGACTATCGGGAGTCCAACGCCCCAACCACTGCCGGTTGAGACCGGATATATACAATGGTAGAGGGACGCTCACTGGTCGCAGCCGGCTAATAAACCATAAATGGCCATTCCAGTCTCCCCTGTCTTTGTCAGCAATGTCATTCTGCCTATAATACGGGTCGTTGTGCGGTTGCCCGCGGGGCTAGAGAGCGGACCTCCAGGCACAACGGAAGAATGCGTTTCGAAACGCGACTAGTAAATGAGACCAACTTGAAGAATTCCCATCAATTACTCCGTGGCCAGCGCCCGAATAGTTGTTGGTGACGATATGTGGCAGAAATATGATGAAGGCAAACCGCTATTCCGTAGTTGTTCCTCCAAGAATTGCGAATTCAGTTTGTTAAACCGGCGCACTAAGGAGACCTACCGTGATGAACCGATGAACGCGCCTTTTACGTGAAGGGCCCTGTAAATCTGTGTTAATGAAAGGCACTAGGGAGGTTTTCCGTTCATTCCACCACTTATTTTGAAAATTGCTTCCGAAAATTATAGGCCACTGGCATAGTAGTTGCCGCTGCATAGTTGTCAATTTGTCCACTTCCCTACTTTTACAAACGATGACTACCGGCAGTCCAAAATAGATGCATAAAAAACCAGCTTTCTGTACAAAACCCAAATCCCTGCCTACTCGCTGGTACGGTCGCCTATCGTTTATTTAACATTCATAGATGCAGTCCTCCCTCTGCTCCAACATTTTACTCACTCACTGTTCCCCTTGTAGACTGGGTGAGTGCCGAAGGGCATGCCACAAACCGCCACCTGGGGAAGACTCGAGGACGAGCGCCTTCCAAATGTGGCCTTCACCAGACATCCGGAGAAGGCCCTGCGACATCAACAGTTGCCCAGTTTTCTCCATCAGTACAAAGTACTTCTGTGGAAGAGCTTCCTCATTCGTCGTCGGCAACCTCTACAGCTGGCGGCAGAGATCATCACGCCCCTGCTGTTCATCATCGTTCTCGCCTGTCTGCGATCATCTGCGTCCACCACGGTAAATCCAAGTTGCTATGTCGGAGCTCAGGCACTGCCGAGCATGGGATTTCTGTCTCACCTCCAGTCCACTATATGCAACTTTAATTACACTTGTCATCCTTGGAGTCACGAGGAGGAAGTGAGACCTCCGGTGTTTTGGATCTGGGAGTACTTCATTTCTTCAATGAACTCAAGCTCATCTCTCCAACCTATTGGTGAGCTCCTACACAAGCTGCTCGAAACGCACTTTAACCTGTCATCGTCGTCAAGTGCTACAACTGCGCAAACAGACTTGCCTCGCTCACTGCTCGACGCCCTCCATATGGGGCTCAGCAAGATAGAACAGGTCAGTTGCATCAAAGCTAATGCGGAACTCCTACCTCCACTGCTGGGCGACTTGCGAAGCACTCTTATCACTGGCTTCTGCAAGCTTCCAGAGATTGGTCGTCAGTCAGTGCTGAAGAGTCTTCGGGATTTAGTCCAGGACAAAATTCCTGATGACTTCGTCAACCTTCTTGGTCCCGCTCTGCACAGCATAGACCTAATCAAGAACTTCACTGAGGGCCACACATACCAGGCTCAGCTGGAAAACGGTCTCCTACACATGGCGGAACTGATGAGCAAGGCCTCTGTCCTCTTTTGTGGCAGCGATCCCCATAGGAACAATTTCCTCACTTTGCCGGTCTTTTTGAGTGCGCTGGGTGGTGCCGCCGCCATTCTACCCAAGGGTGTGCCCAACGGTGACGCCTGTTCGGTTCTGAACCAGGTATTTCGCCATCCGCAGGCGCGGCCTTGGATGGAGCGTCTGAGGAGTCTCCTACAGGGTCGCGTACTCTACTATCCCAAGACACCCTTTACGGATGCAGTGATTGCTCGAGCCAATCAAAGTGCCCAAATGTTCGCTCGACTGAAGCAACTTTCGGATCAATGGATGAGTCTACGTGGCGATCTTCTCCCGAGTATGTTGTATAAAAGTACCTTAGCACAAACGCTTCGGAGTCTGGGACTGGTGTGCATTACTCGTGCCAACATCTCCCCCACTTTGAGAGGACAATGCCGACGAATAGTTGACTTCCTACTCGAAAGGAAGACCCCTATTCTCAGCGAAAACTGGTCTGACCTTATTGCGCCGCTCAACAAACTTTCTGATCTTTTGCATAACTTGCTGAATACATGCGTTCGCTACGACAGATTCCTGGGTTTTACGGATGAGAAGCACCTGCAGAGGGAGTTGGATCAGGTCCTAACGGACCCTGACCCCGTCATATTGGTAATATTCGACAAAGTACCTACCAACTCCTCCTTCTCCAACTCTGCCACACGATCACTCTCATCAAGTCTCCTCTCTCTTCGATTTCGCCTACCGGCCCGAGTTACTGACGCGACTTTCCGGTTCAAGGTCTTGGACAATTACTGGAAGCCGGATCCTCGAAATGAGGTTCGAGACTCCATGAAGTACTTCACCAGCGGATTCATTGACCTCCAGGATCAGATTGAGCGCGCCTATATATCTCTGTTGACTGGCTATCCGGACATGACTGGACCGGAAGCAAAGCCGTCCTCAAACCTCCTTCTGCCCACAGAGATGCAACTTATGCCAAATCCCTGCTACAGGAGTGATCCAATGCTTAGGATCATAGTACGCAATCTGGACTGCATTATTTGCATTGTCTGGATATGCACATCCATGTTTGCAGTACGTGCCGTTGTCTACGAGAAGGAGCTGCGTCTCAAGGAGTTCACCAAGGTTCTTGGACTCGGCAACTTTGTGCACTGGCTCAACTGGTTCACAGTCACCCTTGCTGTGGTCTGGATTCCCACTCTGCTGGTGACAATTCTGCTTAAATTTGGAGGCATCTGTCCGAGCTCCGACTTCAGCCTTCTGCTTGTCTTTCTCTTGGCCTTCCTCTGGGCTCTCATTCCGCAGGCCTTCCTCGTGTCTGTCTTTTTCACTCAGGCCAACTTTGCAGCCATAGCCACCGGTCTCATCTACTTCCTACTGTTTGTTCCCTACGTCCTGGTCTTCCTCTACGACCTCAGCGGCCTCCAGATTGGTCTGATGTCGCTGTCCCCGCAGGTGGCTGCCGCGCTGTCTTTCTCACGCATTGGCAATCTGGAGAATACGGGCATGGGTGCAACTTGGGAGGGCCTTAACGGCGGTCGCTTCACCAACGATCCCTTCAATCTAGGTCAGTGTCTGGGTATGCTTGCACTGGACGGCCTTCTAGCCTGGTTGTGTCTGCTCTATCTGGAGGCAGTCCTGCCGAGTACTTATGGTCTCTCAAAAGCCTGGTACTTTCCCTGCACCCGCAATTTTTGGCGTCCGGTGGCGAAACTTCTACCTCGGCGTAAGTCGGACCTGGAAGTCGAGAGTGCGATGGTGCAGGATGACTTCAGCGGCGGCAGGTCCTTCAACGAGGCAGACGGCACGCTCTGTGAGCCGAGAGCAGAGGGTCAGAAGGTGGGGGTGTCTGTGCGTGGTCTGACAAAAAGATATGTGGGCAGTCAGCAGGCCGCGGTGAACAATCTCTGGGTGGATTTTTACGAGGGCCAGATCACCTCCTTCCTCGGACACAACGGAGCTGGCAAGACCTCCACCATCTGCCTTCTCACCGGCATCTATCGACCAACCGCCGGTACGGCTCACATATACGGACGTGACATCACCGAGAGCATGGATGACATTCGCACCTTCCTGGGCTTGTGTCCGCAACACAACATTCTCTTTGACTATCTCACCGTGGAGGAACATCTGCGCTTCTATGCCTACATCAAGGGTATGCGAGAGAAGGAGATGCGGGCGGAGATTGATGTCTTTCTGGGTCGGTTGGAGCTACGCGAGAAGGCGCACGAATACGCTAAGAACCTTTCTGGCGGCCAGAAGAGACGCCTCTCCCTGGCGGCGGCCTTCATTGGGGGCTCCAAAATTGTCTTTCTGGACGAACCCACGGCGGGAGTGGATCCGCACTCTCGGCGCGCCATTTGGCAGCTGATCCTGCATTTTCGCGAGTCGCGCACCATAATCCTGACAACGCACCACATGGACGAAGCGGACGCCCTTGGCGATCGTATAGTCATCATCTCCCAGGGCCGCGCCAAGGCTTCCGGTTCAAGTCTCTTCCTAAAAAGTCACCTAGCCCGTTCATACTACTTAATAATAGAGAAAACGCGGGCAGTTCAACTTGGTGAGGATACGGAGTATGCCGATGAGAGGTTGGCCAAGGCTCTGGTGGCTCAACTTCCGGGTACCCAGTTGCAAACTTCCAGTCCCACCGAGTGGATCTTCACTCTGCCAGCTGTTGGAGCCATCAATGGTGGGTTTGTGGACTTTTTCGCCTACCTGGAATCTAATAGGGAGGCACTGAAACGACACTATGGTGTTCAACAGTATGGACTCTCCGATACCAGCCTAGAGGAGATCTTTCTCCTCCTTGCAGACGATCCCAACACCAACAGTTTCGCTCCCTCCGCGCAGTCCCAGGTGCGCAGTCGGTTGGGACATTTGAAGTTGTCCTTCTGGCTGTGTCGTCGACAATCTGCCGCCCTTGAGTACGCGGACGAGGATCTAGATGTAGACTCTGTGGATGACGTTTTCACAGCACCAGCAGCAGTAGCAGCAGGTGGCTCTCCACCAACGGCTAGTCGAGAAGCCACCTTTGTGAGCACCAGAACGCAAACAGAAGTTGTCCTAAATGACCCACCCACGCAACTTTATCGTGGCTGTTGCCTCTATCTTCAACAGGCCAAGGCCCTCCTCAGTGCCCGCTTCCTTTACAGCCAGCGAAGCGTGCGCGGCTGGTTTCTGGAGATTGTCTTACCAGCTCTCACCTTGGTCATTTTGATGGGCATCCTTACTAATTACAACATTCAGATCACTCAACCTGCTATGCCCCTCCATCCCTGGCTCATGGCAGATATCCGGAATAAGCCCAAGTTGAGGACTTTCTTTGAAACAAACATTGAGGAGTCGTTCGCGCCCAGGACGGATGCAGATCGGCAGGTCCTGGAGGACATTCGTCTGGTAGCTGATCGCTACGCAGCCGAGATGCTTGCTCGCAGCGGATGGACGGGCACTCGCTGTCTTCCCCCCAGCGTCTATGATTTCGAGCCAAAAAAGTTTGCTTGGTGTCGCGACGACTACACTCCGCCAACTCAAACTCTCCTGCTTACACCGACTGAAATGAGATCCGTAAGAGCCTCAGTGAACGTATCCTGTGAATGCGGTCAGCGACTTCCTACTCGCTGCCACCTCAATGCAATTGGAGGCTTCCAACCACCTGGATGGCACCTTGCTTCCACTGATGTTCTATACAATCTCACTGGTTACAATTTAACCGATTACCTGACGAAAACACACGCCGAAACCATTATGAGACGCTATGGCGGTTTAAGCATCGTGATGGCCAGAAATGCAGCTGGTCTGATGGAGACTCATAGGCGTCTCACAGACCGCGAACGTATCCGCACTCTCCTAGAGGGCGCCTTTGGGCACACGGGCGTCACAGCCTTCGGACTCCAATTGGCCGAATTCCTCGCTCTCAACCTACCGCCCACGCATTTTGCGCGCATTTGGTATAACAACAAGGGTTACGCCTCCTCCGTGGCCTACCTCAACACCCTCCACAATCTTCAGCTGCGAATGCTTCTACCAAACGAGACGCTCAAGTCAGTGCCAGGCCTGTTCCCACCGGAGCGGGACGCCTTCGGAATGGCCATCGCGACGCATCCATTTCCGCATAATACAGCAATTCGTAATTTTCTGAAAATGCGGTTTCTCATTGTGGGTGTCTTTAAGGCGCTAGGCACCATTCTGGCCCTATCCTTCGTGCCTGCCAGCTTCACACTGTACCTGATCGATGAACGCAGCAGTGGTGCCAAAGCCCTCCAACTCCTCTCCGGTCAGAGTCGCCTAGTCTACTGGGCAGTGGCCTATCTATGGGATTTCGGCAATTTCCTCGTATCTGTGGCCATAGTTACTATGGTGTTTGTCGCCTTTGACGAGCAGGCCTTCATCGGAAGTGCTCATGTGGGTGGCTTCCTGCTTCTACTCATCCAATACGGACTCTGCATCATCCCGCTGATGTACCTGCTTTCATTTCTGTTTCGCGTGCGTAGTATGGCTTTCGTTTTCCTGATGGCCTTCAACCTCGTGCTCGGTGTTATGACAACCCTACTGACCTTTGTGTTGGACTACATGGAGCGGCAGGAGGCGGGAATGGAGGCGGTTAATAAGATGCTAAAAATGGTCTTCCTGATCTTCCCACAGTTTTCCTTTGGTCGAGGATTCTATGAGCTGGCGAAGAGACATATGATTATCTCGATGGGAATAGACGTCCTCAAGCCGGGAGAGCTGTACTCGTGGGATCTGCTGGGATCAAAATTGATGAGTTTGACCATCGAGACGGTTCTTTTCTTGGCGTTACTTCTGCTTGTTGAATATGCCCACGTCGTGTGCAAATGCTGCGCGTCATCAAGGCCCTCTTGGCAGTCCGTTGTGGGTTCAGTGGATCCAGATGTCAGAGAGGAGGAGTTGCGGGTTTTGCAGGTAAGTGACTGATTTTAACTTCGCCTTGATAGCTGTCTTGCAGGCAACACTTCAGCCCTTAGGAAACACAACAACTGCTGGTCATAGAGTCTGTTTGAACAGAGGCCCAGCTGAAGTCGATAAATCGCGTAGGAGTGGGCAGCAGAACGGCATATTTGAGGAAATGTCACTGGCTTCTGGGGAAATTGCAAATACCATCGAAAATGCTTGAATGCGTTTGACGTTTGGTAGGGCAGGCCAAATCTGACACGACCTATCTCACGATATTTCGATTATTTGGGGAGGGGGGTATGTCTACTGGCTCAATCCCACTAAAGGGGTCTGCCACCAACCCTCTCCCTCTCTCCCTCTCTCTATGCATATATATGATGGTAGGGGTGCTCACGGATCGTTCTTACGGAACTCACTCGTTCCGTTATGCCTTACGGGCTCTTGTCTTTGTCGGCGATAACATGCTGCCTACATCACGCGCCAGTCTGCGGCTGCTGATTGGGCTCGAGAGAGAGAGAACCGGTAAGACGCAACGGAACGAGAGAGTTCCGTAAGAACGATCGGTGAGCGTCCCCTACCGTTTTATATTCCCGATCGAAACCGGCCGGACAACGGGCTCGTGGCCCAGTGTCCAGAGACGTGGACTTCTAACCGCAGCATTGACCTACCACCGCCATACGAGGCCACCAGGTACCACTTGCGCGCCAGAGGAGGGCCAATAAGAGGAGAGCGGGACGACCTATCAGGCGCGAGCGCGAATGGCCTATTTAAACCATGTATTTCTCATCTGGCCTGTCTCCGATGATGTGCTCGAGTATGTGTACGAGACGTCAGACGAAGAAACCTTCTTTCCCAGAGATCGCCCCAATACGCTCTTCCCTCGTCAGTTTGCTTTCGGCTCGGCCGAGCACTTGGAAGCCGTCAAAGTCGAACTTGTGATTATTTTCCAGACAATACATGGCGACATGCGATCGTACATCCTTTCGCCTTACGTCCAAAGTGTGCTGATGCATGCACGTTCTCAGGCGTTTGTCGGTCATGCCACAGTATTTGGCTAGACAGCCCAGACATCTGACGCGGTTAATGACGCCCGACGTGTCTGCAGGTGGTAGCTGGTCCTTGGGCTGCATGATTAAGCGGAGGATGGTGGCGTCCGGTCGGTTTCCAACGCCCACGCTTAGCGGTCTTAGCATGCGCTCAGTGGCTTCGGAGACGTTACTCACGCAGGGCAAGACACGGAGGATTTCTGGTCTTTATTTCTTCTCACCATCGGTCTTCGTGTGCCTTCGGTACAAGCATTTGTTTACGAAACTGTGTGGATATCCATTGGCAAGGAAGAGGTGCCATAGGGGTTTACGCTCCCGCAGCTTCTCGGCTTCTGTGCTGTAGTGTGTTTGGATGCGGTGAAAAAGTGTCCGCTTATGCGCTTATGCGGCAGGGGGTGGTTGCTGTTGTAGTGAAGAATTTCCTCCGTGTCTGTCGCCTTTCGAAAGACACAAGTCTGGAGGGTTCCGTCTTCCTGCCTCGATACTAGGACGTCGAGGAAAGGGAGCACTCCGTTATTTTCTTCCTCCATAGTAAATTGGATTTGTGGAAAAACCGAGTCCAATTCTCTTTTAAAGTTGTCTTTCGCGTCTCAGTGTAGGATGACAAGGGTGTCGTCTACGCAGCGCATCCAGAATTTCGGGTTGTAGGTCTGGAAGATCCGAGTTCCCAGTTCCTGCAAGATCGCCTCAGTTAGGTAGCTGAAGATTAGGCCCCCATTGGGTCTTCTTGTATTTGCTCGTAAATTTGGCCGTTAAACATGAAGTACGTGCGTAAACAATAGTCCAATAGTTCCATCGCGTGCCTCCTCTTAAAAGATTTTTCTTCGTCGTACCTTCTCTTAAATAGATCATAGACAACTCTCATGACCAATTCTTTAGGGATGGAGGTGAATGGAGAGACGACGCCAGAAGATACCATTATTTCGTCGGGGGCTATCATGAGGCCTTTGAGTCTTTCCAGGAAGTGTGTTGACGATACAGCTGTGTGTTCTGAGCCGTCCGTCAGCTTCTTCAAATATTTGGCAAGCCATTCAGCCAGTCCGTATGTAGGCGTGCCTTTCAGCGCCACAATGGGCCGAAGGGGAACATTTTGCTTGTGGATTTTTGGCAAACCATAAAAGCGCGCTAGGGCAGCATCTTGTGGTTTCACCTGTCTCCAATCCTTTTCGGATATTGCCTTTTCGTTCCTCATCTGGTTCAGGCTCTTGTTGATTTTGCCTACCAGTGCTTTCATGGGGTCGGAGTGGATGACTTTATACGACTGGTTGTCGTTTAGTAGCTGCTGCGCTTTTGTAACGTACTCCGACTTGCCCAGCACTGCGGTTGCCCGCCCTTTGTCCGCTAGAACAATGACAATTTCTTCGTCCCTCTTTGGTTCCTTGATGGCCTTTATCTCTGCCGAGAGGATGGTTCGGCGAGGTCTGTGGGATATGATGAGTGAAGCCACTGAGCGCATGCTAAGACTGCTAAGCGTGGGCGTTGGAAACCGACCGGACGCCGCCATCCTCCGCTTAATCATGCAGCTCAAGGA